TAATAATAATAATAATAATAATAATAATAATAATAATACTTTATTTATACCCCGCCACCATCTCCTCAAGGGGACTCAGAGCGGCTTACATGAGGCCAAGCCCAACAACACACTCTCACTTGGGTGAGAGGGAGACCCTTCCTTCCTTCCGTCCTTCCCTCCCTACCTGGGGTCCTCTCCTGTCAGCTCTTCCTACCTGTTACCTGGGCTGTCTGTTGGGCCCTCAGGGCCTCCGGGTGAGGAAGGCTGTAGAGCAGCACCTGCCCGTCCGAGAAGGCCGCGGCCAGCAGGCCCAGGCGGCTCATCTGGGGGGCCTGCAAAGAGGACAGGAGGCCAGATCACCCACCCCTCCATGGGCACAAGCCCCCTCCCCCCGGGTGCCCCCCCCCCCGCACCGCCCACAGAGCGTCACTGACCTTGCGCTGGACGGAAGGGGGCTCCCAGGCACCGCTAGGGCAGAACTTCAGGTCCCAGATGCAGCCGTGGTCGGTGGCAATGGCAAAGGCCAGGCTTGGCTTGGTGGCTGACCTGAGACGGAGGGAAAGAGGGAGGGAATGGCACGTTGGGAGGGAAGAGGCCTCGCCCCTTGGACGCAGGGAGCCCTGAGGGGTGGAGGGGCCCGTCTGTGGGGCATTCATAGAATCATAGGATCAAAGAGTTGGAAGAGACCTCCTGGGCCATCCTCCAGTCCAACCCCCTTCTGCCAAGAAGCAGGAATATTGCATTCAAATCACCCCTGACAGATGGCCATCCAGCCTCTGCTTAAAAGCTTCCAAGGAAGGAGCCTCCACCACACTCCGGGGCAGAGAGTTCCACTGCTGAACGGCTCTCACAGTCAGGAAGTTCTTCCTCATGTTCAGATGGAATCTCCTCTCTACCTTGTTTCCCACCTTTGTTTCCTAGATCTGTATCACTCGCCTTGTTTTGCTTCCTGCCTTCATGGAGATGCCCCTTCCCCTTTGTCCTGCTCAAAGTATAATTCATTGCTCTTTATTGGGAAGGGACCCTTCCCATGAGTCTTCCCTCCACCTCAAGACGCAAGAGGGACTCCTCTAGCAAAGTTCAGGAACTTCCTTTTGCCTGCCTACTCTGGAGAACAAGCCCTATGAGGAGCGGCTTAAGGAGCTGGGCATGTTTAGCCTGAAGAAGAGAAGGCTGAGAGATGATAGCCATGTATAAATATGTGAGAGGAAGCCACAGGGAGGAGGAGGGAGCAAGCTTGTTTTCTGCTTCCCTGGAGATTAGGACGCAAGGGAACCATGGCTTCAAACTACAAGAGAGAAGATTCCACCTGAACACGAGGAAGAACTTCCTGACTGTGAGAGCCGTTCAGCAGCGGAACTCTCTGCCCCGGAGGGAGTGTGGTGGAGGCTCCTTCTTTGGAGGCTTTTAAACAGAGGCTGGGTGGCCATCTGTCAGGGGTGATTTGAATGCAATATTCCTGCTTATTGGCAGAATGGGGTTGGACTGGATGACGGCCCAGGAGATCTCTTCCAACTCTTTGATTCTAGGATTCTATGCCCAGCTCTTGAAGTTCTGACTCTGCAACCCTGATCCATCCTAAGATACAGAAAGAATATCCTAGCTTGCTACACATACGTTTCAGCTTGTTGTTGTTGTTGTTGTTGTTATTATTATTATTATTATTATTATTATTATTATTATTATTCTTTCTTTCTTTATTACTCTTTCTTTGTACCCCGCTAGCATCTCCCGAAGGACTCAATGCGGCTTACAAAGGCCAAGGCCTCAACAACACAATAGCATAACAATACAATTGAAAGCAAACCAAAAACATTAAAGCAATAACAGTAAAAACAACAACACAATACAGCATAACACAATAAGCGTACTTCTGGTACTCTGCTAGATTTATGGTGGAGTCACCCCAACTGAGAGCTATTTTGAGCCTAACACCTATACACAAGAGGATGCTGAGGCTGCTTCTTGCCCAGAGACAGGGACTGCCCCCCCCCCACCCCAAACCCCATTCTGCGCTCACCCTGCATCTTGCTGGAGGGTGCCAAGCTCCCAGAGCTGGAGCAGGGCCGGTCCCAGGTGGGTTCCCGAGAGATGGCGCCGGTCGTCCATGCCGGGGTGGCAGTAGAGGGCCAGGTGCTGGGTGGCTGGGGCGCCCTCCGGGGTGGGGCACCACTCCAGCGCCCAGACCGGCCCCCCCACAAAGAAGGTCGTGTCCAGGCGCTCTGGGTGGGGCGGCAGGGCACTGAACCTGGGAGGGAAGACAGAGTAGGGAGAAAGGCTCTGGAGGAGGAGAAGAAACAGCAATGCCTGGCTACGCATATGCATGCAAGTTAATGACTTGACCACCATTTGGGATGTGTATTAGGTCACGTAAACCTCTGGGCACATGTTTGGAAGACTATTTCTCCCTCTGCTACCTTTTTTGGTTCTTTGTTTTTGTCTGAGATGTAACTATTTGGAGGAAAGAAGGCCTGCTCACCACCTTAAGCCCCCATTCATTACTCTGACTGTAACCACTGATTTGTTACCTGCACGAAAGTACATCATGCAAGCTTTTTGTAAGTAAAGTCTTTCACTTTTATCTCTGTGTCTAAGCTATCTATCTATGTTGATACATTTCCTCTATGCTGATGATCATGCCATCACTGCTCAAGCAGGGAGTGCTTTGAGATGGCTGAACAGAAGCTCTCCGAAGCTCTAGGTGCCTTTACCAGCTGATCCCCAACCCAACCAAAACACAGACATGTGCCTTTCACCTTAAGAACAAAGCAATCACCTTAAGAATCCCACTGGAGCATTGCAGCGCACCCAAATACCTGGGAGTCACCCTGGACCGTGCTCTGACCTACAAGAAGCACTGCCTGAATATCAAACAAAAAGAACCTGGGTTTTTTTTATCTTTAATAAACATATTACTTTTGTTCTTGTGGGTTTTTTCGGGCTATATGGCCATGTTCTAGAGGCATTTCTCCTACTCTTGATCCTATGAGTTATGGATCTGCAATCCTGTTCCATCCTGTTGAATGGGAACCAATCCTTGCTCGCTACACGTATGTTTCTGCTGCTTATGAACTGTGCATCTTGCACTCTGCTATACTTTTGGTGGAATCACCCCCAGAGAGAGTTATTTTTGACCCTAACAGCTCCTGATTCCCAACACCTTGCTCTTGCCTCCTTCCCCCGAAGCCAAGAGTGTGAGGGGGCTTGTCCAAGATCTCCCAGTGCAGTGGTTCTCAACCTGTGGGCCCCCAGGTGTTTTGGCCTACAACTCCCAGAAATCCCAGCCACTTTACCAGCAGTTAAGATTTCTGGGAGTTGAAGGCCAAAACACCTGGGGACCCACAGGTTGAGAACTACTGTCCCAGTGCCTCTGAAGAGGTGACCCGTACTAGAAGGCCATCCCTGGACATCCCCCTCTCTATCTCCTCAGAAGGGGAGCCTTGGCAGCGCATCTCCCTTGACAGCTGCCCTACAAACACACACATGTGTTTGGCCCAAGGGATGACCATACAGCCTGGGTGGGGGCCCACCCCTGCCCCCTCCCTGCGCCCTGCAGGAGCCTCCCTGCCCTACACCCACCTGTTGACCCGGTAGAGGACACTGCTCTCTTCCTGGAGACCCTCTCGCTGGATGGAGAAGAGCGGGGACTTGGCCTCCCTCGGGAGGTACTCCTCTGCTTCCCTTTGGAAAGGAAGGAGGAGGGCAGAGTGGGCAGGAGAAGGATGCCCCCCCCCCACCCAGCGCCCTGGCTCCTTCCCTCAGCCCCCCCATGGACCCCGCGGCCTCCCTCAAGAAGGGGGAAAAGCCACGCACGCCTCCCCCAGGAAGCTCCCCCTCCCCTCCATTCCCCCGCCGGAGTCTGCCCCAGATCCACTCACCTCTCCGAGAGGCAGGCCCACTTCCGGGCAGAGGGCACCCACTCCGGAAACTCCCAGGGAGAGTGGAACTGCTCTCGGCTGTGGGACAAGAAAGTACGCCTTAGGTCCTGGAGGAGTTTGTTGGAGCTCCGAGACCCCCTGGAGAGGCCTCTTTCTTTCACTCTCGGTTCCACCACCCTCTCAGGCCCATTTGGTGGGAAAAGGGGAAACAACAGGGTGCCCTTGGGGGCTGCTGCTTCCAGATCTGAGAGGTCCCTTCCCAGGGAGGCCAGGAGGGCCCCACCCTCACCCCCTTCCCCATCATCTTTGTGCCACAGCAGGCTTCTACAAACTAACGAAACATGGACAGGATGTAGCAGTGTTGATTTCTTAGTAAATTCTAATAATTCCAGTGTTTCAGCAACATTAATAATAATAATAATAATAATAATAATAATTATTATTATTATTATAAATGGTGGCACTGTTCTTTTAATCTTGCATGTATACTGTTATCCCTATATTCCTATTGCACTTAATTTGCATTATTTATTTCAGGCATTTATATCCCGTCCTTCTCGACCTCCGAGGAGGGACTCAGAACAGCTTCCAAACAGGCAACAATTCAATGCGAAGCATGATGTAAAACACACAATAAATACATCCATATACATTAAAATATGAGGGTGGGATAAAAACTAATGCCTCCACCTTCGTAACTCCTCAACAGGTGGCAGTACTGGTATGTGGCAGGTACTGGCTTGTTCAGTAGACTCTCCTGTACAGTTCCATTTTGGCGGGAAGCCTTAGCATTGAACGGTTGTGTTGTTAAAATGCGAAGTATAAAACCTTGCGCAGACAGTTGGTCAATGTGACTTAAGCAACGTGCAGTCATTGAACTCTTGACCACAGAAGGTGTCACCTCAGAGAATGCAAGCTGTTCATGGTGAATGTGTTGGTGTGAGTACTGTGCATCATTGGGCTAGTAAGTTTAAAGATTTATTTATTTATCGTGTCAGGAGCAACCAGATAGTTGTATTACATTTTTAACCAAACAAACAAACAGACAAACCACAAAGTTTGCAAGCTTGGTAGTGGATTAAATGTCCTTTGACCAGTATCTGGCCCCTTGGAGTGCTTCTGGTGTTGCCGCAAGAAGGTTTAAAGATGATGAGGTGACACCTTTTGACCGTCTGTGCAGGGTTCCATACTTCAGAACCAGGCTTTTGGTTAATGGATATAACGGCACCTGAACAGTGAATTGGACCAGACGGTTGTTATAATGGGAATGCTTTTATGATTGGATAACTAATGTTGTTTTAAGGTATTGTATGATTTTATTTTGCTTTTATAATTGCAATTATTGTGGCATCGAATTGTTGCCATGTTAGCTGCTCTGAGTCCCCCTGTGGGAGTGAGAAGAGTGGGGTCGAAATGCTGTAAATAAAATTTATTATTATTGTTGTTGTTGTTGTCATCATCATCATCATCATCATCGTTATCATTATATCCTGCCTGGAAGCCGCAGATCACTGAAGTCCCTTGGATCCCCCTCCCCTTGCCTCCAAGGCCGGCCAAAGGCAGGCTCCCTGGAACCCGGTCCCCCTCCCCTTGTCCCCAGGCTGCCCACCGCATTAGCCTGCCATCCCAGAGGCCTAAATACCCAGCGACTCACAAGCGGTGAGTGACGGAGAGGGATTTCCACACCGGAAGCATGATGGAGTTGTGCAGGCCGTTGGGAGCGAAGCCTCGGCAATGGGTCTTTGCCCTCTGGGGAAGAGAAAGGGGTCAAGGCCCACAGAACTGCTCCCTTGGGGGACCCTGCGTTGCCACCCACCCCAACATCCTGGAAGAGGGCAAAGGCTGGAGAGGCCTGCGTTACCACTGGTGTTGCCGTGACCGCTCTCTGCGAGCCAGGCTCCAGCTCAGACTCCGAGGCCTCGCTCAGGAGGAAGTCGCTCTCCTCGTCTTCGTCCTCCTCATCCTCCTTGTACTCTTCCTCCTCGTCCTCGTCCTCCTCCTCCTGCAGGAGCCCCTCTTCCGGAGGAACAAAGTCCGCGTCCTCCTCCAACGTGTCCCGCCGCGGCTTCCGTCCCCGCGGCTTCCGTCCAGGTTCCTCAGGCTTCGGGGCATCCTCGGAGGCCTCACTGCACAGCGGGGCATGGCACACGGAGCTCAGCTCCTCGGCCAGTTCCTGCAGGTACAGAAGGGCCCTGGGAGAAGCGCCCGAGAGAGGTGGGAGGGGGGGGGTCAGTGCCTGGAGCCCCTCAGCCCCTTTGCGACAAGAGCAGGGGACTCCTGGGAGTGAGGAGGCACCAGCCCTTGCATCTGTTGAGCCTTTAGAGCCCTGTAGGACCCTCTAGGTGTTTTGGACTCCAACTCCCAGCATTTCTCACAGCCTCAGGCCCTTTCCTTTCTCCTCCTCTATGTGTTTGTTGTGAAGGCCAGGCTAGGTACTTTGGCCAGCAGTAGACTGAACCTCATTCAATCTACTGCTGACTCTAGAACAGTCCTGAGCAAATTTAGGCCCTCCAGGTGTTTTGGACTTCAACTCCCACCATACCTCACAGCCTCAGGCCCTTTCCTTTCCTCCCTGTGTGTTTGTTTTGAAGGCCAGGTTAGGTATTTCAGCCAGCAGCAACTGTCATTGCTGAAGCTCACTCCCTCTACTGCTGGCAATAGAACAGGCATGGGCAAACTTGGGCCCTCCCTCCAGGTGTTTTGGACTCCAACTCCCACCATTCCTCACAGCAACTGTCATTGCTGAAGCTCATTCACCCTACTGCTGGCACTAGAACAGGCCTGAGCAAGCTTGAGCCCTTTCTCCAAGGGTTTTGGACTCCAACTCCCAGCATTCCTAACAGCCTCAGGCCCTTTCCTTTCTCCCCCTATGTGTTTGTTTTGGAGGCCAGGCTAGGTACTTCGGCCAGCAGCAACTGTCATTGATGAAGCTCATTCATTCTACTGCTGGCACTCGAACAGGCATGGGCAAACTTGGGCCCTCCCTCCAGGTGTTTTGGACTTCAACTCCCACCATTTCTCACAGCCTCAGGCCCTTTCCTTTCTCCCCCTATTTGTGTTTGTTTTGAAGGCCAGGCTAGGTACTTCGGCCAGCAGCAACTGTAATTGCTGAAGCTCATTCCCTCTCCTGCTGGCACTAGAACAGGCACGAGCAAGCTTGGGCCCTCCCTCCAAGTGTTTTGGACTTCAACTCCCACCATTCTCCCTCCCCAACCTATGTCCCCTTGCACCACTCACGCTTTGGCCGCTCTCCGCTTCGGGCGCCCCCCAGGCGTGGTCTCCAGGCCGTCCTCCAGGCCCGTCTTCTCCTCCTCAGGAGAAGGCCCTTGCGACAGCTTCAACAGGAGCAGCTCCGCCTTGGATTTGCGCCCACGCTTTTTGGGCACCTTGGCCAGGAGGGAGGGGCCGTTTGGGGAAGGCCCGGGGCTGTCGCTCACCGCCACTCCGGAGCTCTTGGGGCGGCCCCCCCTCTGGCCAAAGCCTCTTTTTTTGGGCTTCCTCCCGCGGGTGCCCTTTGGCCGAGGAGGGGTGCTGGTGGCTGGCGTCTCCTCAGGGTGGGCCAGGATGGGGGCTGCTGCGCCATGGAGCTCATCATCTGCTGCAGAACAAGCAAAAGGCCAGGTCAAGGGGGAAACTACAGATCTCATGTGCAAACACGTTTAAAAAGCAATGCTTTTGGGTTTGGGAGGAGGAGGCAAAGGAATGGTTTACTCCAAGGCAGCCTTCTTGCACCGACCTTAATCATCATAATCATCATCATCATCATCATCTTTATTTATACCCCACCATCATCTCCCCAAAGTGGACTCGGAGTAGCTTACATGAGGCTAAGGCCAGCGATACATTACAGCAACATAAAATATAAACAACAGTGATGCATTACAGTAATTTAAAATATAAACAACAAAACAGCTGCGCCCGTATCTTGGGAAGTCTGACTTGGCCACGGTGGTACACGCTCTGGTCACATCCCGCCTTGACTACTGCAACGCTCTCTACGTGGGGCTGCCCTTGAAGACGGCCCGGAAGCTTCAGCTAGTCCAGCGCGCGGCAGCCATGTTGTTACTAACAGGAGCGGGACGCAGGGAGCATACAACGCCCTTGTTGTCCCAGCTCCACTGGCTGCCGATCTGCTACCGGGCCCAATTTAAGGTGCTGGTGTTATCCTACAAAGCCCTAAACGGTTCCGGCCCAAAATACCTATCAGACCGCATCTCGGCCTATGAGCCCACGAGGGCCTTAAGATCGTCTGGGGAGACCCTTCTCTCGATCCCGCCTGCCTCACAGGCACGCCTGGCGGGGACGAGAGAAAGGGCCTTCTCGGTGGTGGCCCCCCGGCTGTGGAACACCCTCCCTGTTGAAATCAGACAGGCGCCCTCCCTTTTGGCTTTCCGTAAGAGCCTAAAGACCTGGCTATTTGGAAAGGCATTTAATTGAGTGCTTTACAAACGGGTAATGACAAGTGGAACGGAATACGGTCTATGAGATTGGCTATGATTCTATGTGTGACGATGCGGATTAGTTTAGTGTAAATTAGCTTAATGTGTATAATGAATTGTTGATATTGTGATGCCCTATTGTATACTGTTTTTTATATGTTGTACACCGCCGCGAGTCGCCCTAGGGCTGAGAGCGGCGGTTAACAAATGCAATAAATAATAAATAAATAAAATAAATAAAATAACATCACAATAAAATAAATAAACCAATCAAGTAAAATAAACAGTGCAAAATAACATAATGGAAAATAGGACACAGTGGGCGGGCCAAACGCACGACATAAAATGATAAAACTCTGGATGAGATGGCAATGAAAAGGTACATTTGTGGGGGAGGAGGACCTTGTTTAATACCTTCATGATCAGCCAGTCACCACTCAAAGAGTGGCCTAACAACAGAAGCAAAAGACCTTGAAATAGGCAAAATCCAACTTACTAATGCCTTGAAAGATCTCTCCAGCTACTTCAAAAATAACCACCTGAAGCCTAACCCTGCCAAGGCACATGTTTGTGCCTTCCACCTACAGAACCGTGAAGCCAACAGGATATTGAAAGTGACCTGGGTAGGTCAAGAGCTTTGGAAACACTGTTTCCATCCTAAATACCTCGGTGTCACCTTTGATTGAACACTAGCAACTAGGAGACACTGCTTGAACACCAAGCACAAAGTAGCTGCACGCAATAACATCCTTCGGAAATTTACTGGCAGTGCATGGGGTGCAGACCCAAAATTAGTAAGAGCATCAGCCCTGGCCTTGTCTTCCTCAACTGCCGAGTATGCCTGCCCTGATTGGCATAAGTCTGCCCACACATAGCAGGTGAACATAGCATTGAAGGAAACATGCAGCATAATCACAGGATGTCTTAAACCTACAACTGTTGATAAACTCTCATTGAACTAAACATGCAGAATAATCACCGGATGTCTTCAACCTACAAGCTAGCTGGCATTGACCTCCTGATATGCAATGGGAAGTTGCTGCTAACGATGAGAGAAATAGGTTTGAACCCTGTGAAAGCCCCCCCCCCCCCCACTACAGGCTACCAGCCTCCTCCCAGGATGGGAGCTCAATGTTTTAATGGTATTTAATAATATGGATTTTATGTATGTACTAGGAGCCCCCAGTGGCGCAGTGGGTTAAACCCTTGTGCCGGCAGGACTTAACACTGACAGGTCACAGGTTCGAATCTGGGGAGAGCGCAGATGAGCTCGCTCTATCAGCTCCAGCTCCTCATGCGGGAACAATGATCAAGGGTCTGGAGAACAAGCCCTATGAGGAGCGGCTTAAGGAGCTGGGCATGTTTAGCCTGAAGAAGAGAAGGCTGAGGGGAGATACGAGAGCCATGTATAAATATGTGAGAGGAAGCAACAGGGAGGAGGAGGGAGCAAGCTTGTTTTCTGCTTCCCTGGAGACTAGGACGCAATGGAACAATGGCTTCAAACTACAAGAGAGGAGATTCCATCTGAACACGAGGAAGAACTTCCTGACTGTCAGAGCCATTCAGCAGTGGAACTCTCTGCCCCAGAGGGAGTGTGGTGGAGGCTCCTTCTTTGGAAGCTTTTAAACAGAGGCTGGATGGCCATCTGTCAGGGGTGATTTAAATGCAGTATTCCTGCTTCTTGGCAGAATGGGGTTGGACTGGAGGATGGCCTAGCAGGTCTCTTCCAACTCTTTGATTCTAGGATTCTATGACATGAGAGAAGCCTCCCGCAAGAATGGTAACATGTCAAAACATTCGGGCAATGTCCCCTGGGCAATGTTCTTGCAGACGGCCAATTCTCTCACACCAGAAGCAACTTGCAGTTTTCTCAAGTAGCTCCTGACACGACAAAAAGTATGTATTTTTTCTTGTATATGTGAAAGACCCATGGTCTAAGCATTTAGTAAACTGACTGACTGACTGGCTTCCCTTCCAGATCCTGGGAGCCACCTGCAACATACCTGGCTGCTGCTGCTGTGGTGTCACCTCTTCTTCCTCCTCCTCCTCCTCCGGCCGCGAAGGCAGGGCTCCATGTGGCGGTGCCTCCTCCTCCTCCTCCTCAGGATCCCTTGTCTTCTTGGGGGGGCTCCCTATTGGGGGCTCGGTGGGGCCTGCCTGGTCCTGCACGCAGGGGCTCCTGGGGCTGGCCCCTCCTGTGTCCAAAGGCGGGGTGTCCCCCCTGACTGCGACCCCCATGGCACAACCGGGCGCCGGGGGGCGAGGGTCCATGGAGGCCCCGAGGTGGGTCAGGAAGGGGCTGCTCCCCCCATCTTCTGCTGGGCCCACCTGCAAAGGCAAGAATGGCAGAGGAAGGTGAGATGCTGAGTCCGAAAGGAGGCCCCATGGAAGAGGGAGAGGCCAAGCGTGGGGCACAATAATAATAATAAACAAAGAATAATAATTGATTATTATAATTAATAATAATAATAATTAATAATAAAATAAATAATAAATCATCCTGCCTGTGTAAATAAACATAATAATAACCATAATAATAATAATAGCCCAAAAAACCCCACAAGAACCTAGCGATTCCAGCCATGAAAGCCTTCGACAATACAATAATAATAATAATAATAATAATAATAATAATCTTTATTTATACCCCGCCACCATCTCCCCAACGGGGTCTCGGGGCGGCTTACATGAGGTCAAGCCCAAACAACAAATTACAATAAAATAAGATACGAGTTACAATAAAATAAACAACATCGCAGTAAAACACAGGACATATGACAACATATTACATATCACAATGCAGCCGTGGGCTTAAATGGCAGGACAAGAGAGTCATTATTATTATTATTATTATTATTATTATTATTATTATTATTATGATGTTTATTTACACAAGCAGGACAATACCACCATGGAGTCCCTCTCTGGAGGCCTGTAAACAGAGGAATAACCTCTTGATAATAAGCAAAGCTGCTTCTGAAGCTTAGGAGCCTGGAGGAGACGCCTTCCTTCTCTCGATGCCCATCTGTTGGGAGGGATCGAGTGGTACCTTCCTTCCAGAGAGGAGTGGGTTGGGCTGAATTGCCATTGGGGGACCCTTCTATGGAATACAGACTGCCTGGGAGCCTGGAGGAGAATCCTTCCTTGTCTGGCTGGCCATCTGTCGGGAGGGATCAAGTGGAGCCTTCCTGCCTCCCTTCCAGAGATGAGTGGGTTGGACTGGATGGCCTTTGGGGGACCCTTCTATGGAATACACACTGTCTGGGAGCCTGGAAGAGCGTCCTTCCTCCTCTGGATGGCCATCTGTTAGGAGGGATCGAGTAGAGCCTTCCTCCCTTCCAGAGAGGAGTGAGTTGGACTGAATGACCATTGAGGGCTTCTTCTATGAACTATAGACTGCCTGGGAGCCTGGGGCAGCCTCCTTTCTTCTCTGGCTGGCCATCTGTCGGGAGGGATCAAGTGGAGCCTTCCTGCCTCCCTTCCATAGAGGAGTGGGTTGGACTGGATGGCCTTTGGGGGGCCCTTCTATGGAATACAGACTGCCTGAGAGCCTGGAGGAGCGTCCTTCCTTCTCTGGATGGCCATCTGTTGGGAGGGATCGAGTGGAGCCTTCCTTCCTTCCTTCTAGAGAGGAGTGGGTTGGACTAGATGGCCTTTTGGGGATCCTTCTATAGACTATAGACTCCCTGGGAGCCTGGAGGAGAATCCTTCCATCTCTGGCTGGCCATCTGTTGGGAGGGATCGAGTGGTGCCTTCCTTCCTTCTTTCTAGAGAGGAGTGGTTGGGCTGGATGGCCTTTGGGGGACCCTTCTATGGACTATTTACTAGAATAGTCTGGAGGAGAGTCCTTCGTTCTCTGGCTGGCCATCTGTCGGGAGGGATCGAGCCTTCCTCCCTTCCAGAGAGGAGTGAGTTGGACTGAATGACCATTGAGGGCTTCTTCTATGAACTATAGACTGCCTGGGAGCCTGGGGCAGCCTCCTTTCTTCTCTGGCTGGCCATCTGTCGGGAGGGATCAAGTGGAGCCTTCCTGCCTCCCTTCCATAGAGGAGTGGGTTGGACTGGATGGCCTTTGGGGGCCTCTTCTATGGAATATAGACTGCCTAAGAGCCTTCCTTCTTTGCCTGGCCATCTGTTGGGAGGGATCAAGTGGAGCCTTACTGCCTTCCTTCCAGAGTGGAGTGGGTAGGGCTGGATGGCCTTTGAGGGACCCTTCTATGGACTATAGACTGCCTGGGAGCCTGGAAGAGAGTCCTTCCTTCTCTGGCTGGCCATCTGTCGGGAGGGATCAAGTGGAGCCTTCCTTCCAGAGAGGAGTGGGTTGGGCTGGATGGCCTTTGGGGGACCCTTCTATGGACTATTTACTAGAATAGTCTGGAGGAGTCCTTAGTTCTCTGGATGGCCATCTGTTGGGAGGGATCGAGTGGTGCCTTCCTGCCTTCCTTCCAGAGAGGAGTGGGTTGGACTGAATAGCCTTGGGGGGGGGGGGGGCGACCCTTCTATGGAATATGGACTGCCTGGAGCCTGGAGGAGAGTTATTTACTAGAATAGTCTGGAGGAGAGTCCTTCGTTCTCTGGCTGGCCATCTGTCGGGAGGGATCGAGTGGTGCCTCCCTTCTTTCTAGAGATGAGAGGGTTGGGCTGGATGGCCTTTGGGGGACCCTTCTATTGATTATTTACTAGAATAGTCTGGAGGGGAGTCCTTCCTTCTCTGGCTGGCCATCTGTCAGGAGGGATCGAGTGGTGCTTTCTTTCTAGAGAGAGGTGGGTTGGGCTGGATGGCCTTTGGGGGACCCTTCTATGGAATATAGACTGCCTGGGAGCCTGGGGCAGCCTCCTTCCTTCCTTCTAGAGAGGAGTGGGTTGGGCTGGATGGCTTTTGGGGGACCCTTCTATTGATTATTTACTAGAATAGTCTGGAGGGGAGTCCTTTGTTCTCTGGATGGCCATCTATTGGGAGGGATCAAGTGGAGCCTTCCTCCCTCCCTTCCAGAGAGGAGTGGATTGGACTGGATGGCCTTTGGGGGACCCTTCTATGGAATACAGACTCCCTGGGACCCTGGAAGAGAGTCCTTCCTTCTCTGGATGGCCATCTGTCAGGAGGGATCGAGTGGAGCCTTCCTCCCTCCCAGAGAGGAGTGGATTGGACTGGATGGCCTTTGGGGGACCCTTCTATGGAATACAGACTCCCTGGGACCCTGGAAGAGAGTCCTTCCTTCTCTGGATGGCCATCTATTGGGAGGGATCAAGTGGAGCCTTCCTCCCTCCCTTCCAGAGAGGAGTGGATTGGACTGGATGGTCTTTGGGGGACCCTTCTATGGAATACAGACTCCCTGGGACCCTGGAAGAGTCCTTCCTTCTCTGGATGGCCATCTGTTGGGAGGGATCGAGTGGTGCTGTCCTTCTTTCCTTCTTCATGGAGGGGAGTGGGTTGGGCTGGATGGCCTTTGGGGGACCCTTCTATGGACTATTTCCTATTTCCTAGTCTGGAGGAGAGACCTTCCTTCCTTCTCTGGCTGGCCATCTGTCGGGAGGGCTTGAGTGTTGCCTTGTGTCCCTCCCCCTCCCTACCTCCTTCCTCGCCCTCAGGGCCGGCGCCTTCCTCGGCCTCCTTCTCTCTCTCTCTCGCTCTCTCTCTCTCTCCGTCCGCCGCCTTCTCCGTCCCTTCCGGGGGTTGGGCAGCCAAGATGGCGGGCGCTAGGGAGAGGCGCCGCCGCTTTAGCGTCACTTCCGGCGCCTTCATTCCCTCAGCACATGACAGGGGGAGGGGCTAGAAGTCTTTCTCCAATCGGCTCCGAGGGAGTGCGCTGCCAATCACGCTCTCCTCCAATGGGAGGGGAGGAGGAAGGGGGCGGTTCCTTTTGAATGAGGGAGGCCTCTGTGGGAGAGAGGCATGTGTTTTGGAATGATTTAGACCAGGCCTGGCCCACTTCGGTGGTCCTCCAGGGGGTTTGGACTTCAACTCCCACCATTCCTAGCAGCCGGTAGGCTGCTAGGAATGGTGGGAGTTGAAGTCCAAAACCCCTGGAGGAGGGCCGAAGTGGGCCAGGCCTGGTCTAAATTCAAGCAAACTATAACTCCCTTTGAGGAATCCTAGAGTTGGAAGAGACCTGGTGGGCCATCCTCCAGTCCAACCCCATTCCGCCTTCAAAGCACCCCCGACAGATGGCCATCCAGCCTCTGCTTCAATGCCTCCACCACACTCCACAGCAGAGAGTTCCACTGCTGAACAGTTGTCACGCTTCCAGGCTGTATGGCCAATCCAGCTTCTGCTTCAATGCCTCCACATCACTCCGCAGCAGAGAGTTCCACTGCTGAACAGTTGTCACGCTTCCAGGCTGTATGGCCAATCTAGCCTCTGCTTCAATGCCTCCACTACACTCCACAGCAGAGAGTTCCACTGCTGAACACGTGTCACATTTCCAGGCTGTATGTGTTCTAACAGCACTTTCTCCTGACGTTTCCCCTGCATCTGTGGCTACCGGCATCTTCGGAGGAAGAACTTGTCAGTACTATGGTTTTTACTGGGTGAAATATCACTTATAGTTTCAAACTCTGTGTATGTCTGGTGTAGGACGTTAATGCAAGAGTTAAAGGCATACAGCAGTGTTTCTCGACCTGCGGGTCAGGACCCCTGAGGGGGTCGTGAAGGGGTGTCAGAGGGGTCACCAAAAGTATTTTCTGATGGTCATGGGGATTCCATGTGGGAAGTTTAAGCCAATTCTATCGTTGGTGGAGTTCAGGATGTTATTTCATTGTAATGAACTATAAATCCTGGCAACTACAACTCCCAAAAGTCAATGTCTGTTTCCCCCAAACCATCTGTATTCATATTTGGGCATATGGAATATTCATGCCAAGTTTGGTCCAGATCCACCATTGCGTGAGTCCACAGTGCTCTCTGGATATAGGTGAACTACAATTTCCAAACTCAAGGTCAATACCCACCTAACCCTTCCAGTGTTTTCCATTGGTCATGGGAGTTCTGTGTGGCAAATTATTTATTTATTTACTTTGCTTCTATACGGCTGTATCTCAAGCCCGAAGGCGACTCACAGCGGTTCACAAACAGTAGAAACAGCAGTGGTTCCATGCAACATATAACAATTGACTTAACACATTATCCATAAATTACCAATAAGCAATTACAATGCACAATTATTACGAGAAACAGCCGTACCCAATCTTCTCATCATCCAAGCGTAGTCCAGGTTCGTCGTCCCTTGTTCCATTCCTATGTTCCATTACCAGATTGCACTAAATTACTCAAACGCCTGCACAAACATCCAGGTCTTCACTTTTTTGCGGAATACCATTAGAGATGGTGCTAGTCTAATGTCCGTAGGAAGGGCGTTCCACAGCCGAGGAGCCACCACCGAGAAGGCCCTATCTCTCGTCCCCGCCAGCCGAGCTTGAGAAGCAGGCGGGATCGAGAGCAGGGTCTCCCCGGAAGATCTCAAAGTCCTGGTGGGTTCATAGGCATAGATGCGGTCAGATAGGTAGCTTGGGCCGGAACCGTTTAGGGCTTTAAAGGCCAACGCCAGCACTTTGAATTCAGCCCGGTAGCAGATCGGTAGCCAGTGGAGCTGGCAGCAAGGGAGTTGTATGCTCCCTGCGCTCAGCTCCTGTTAAAATCATGGCTGCCACCCGTTGGACTAACTGGAGCTTCCGGACTGTCTTCAAAGGCAACCCCACGTAGAGAGCGTTGCAGTAATCAAGGCGGGATGTAACCAGAGCGTGGACTACCGTGGCCAAGTCAGACTTCCCAAGGTACAGGCGCAGCTGGCGCACAAGATTTAACTGTGCGAATGCTCCCCTGGTCACCGCTGAAACCTGGGGTTCCAGGCTCAGCGATGAGTCCAGGATCACACCCGGCAAATTAGGTTCAAATCCATCGCTGGTGGAGTTCAGAATGCTCTTTGATTATAGGTGAACTATAAATCCCAGCAACTACAACTCCCAAATTACAAAATCAATCCTCCCCCAACCCCACTAGCATTTACATGTGGTTGCATTGGGTATTTGTGCCCAGTTTGGTCCAGTGAATGAAAATACATCTTGCATATCTGATATTTACATTATGGTTGATAACAGTAGTAAAATGACTGTTATGAAGTAGCAACAAAAGCAATGTTATGGTTGGGGGTCACCACCACATGAGGGGCTGGATTAAGGGGTCGTGGCATTAGGAGGGTTGAGAAATACTGGCATAGAGTGATTTACTGCCTAGAGCAGGGGTCCTCAAACTTTTTACACAGAGGGCCAGGTCACAGTCCCTCAAATTGCCGGAGGGCCAGATTATAATTTGAAAAAAAAAAGAAGCATGAATGAATTCCTATGCACACTGCACATACTTTATTTGTAGTGCAAAAAACCACTTTAAAACAATACAATAATTAAAATGAAGAACAATTTTAAGAAATATAAACTTATTAGTACTTAAATGGGAAGATCATCTGAGGAGACCCTGCTCATTGTCCCCCCATTGTCACCATCACGTCTGGCGGGGACAACGGTCAGGGCCTTTTCTGTGGTGGCCCTCCAGCTATGGAACTCCCTCCCGAGTGAAATTAGATCTGCTGCATCCCTGACCTTCCGGAAACAAGTAAAATCCTGGCTATGGGATCAGGCCTTTGGAGAATAGGCTGACCTAGCGACTTATTTAGAACTGATGGACTGCCCTTGGATAATGATTTAAATCAGTGACCACTGACTTTTTGTTGTCTGTTTTTATATTGTTTATACGGTTTTATACGGTTCATATTGTTTTATATTGTTGTTATTATTACATTGCTGTTATTGTATATTTATGTTTTGATGGGGGCGCCATGGGGTGCCGCTTTGTTAGCCGTCCTGAGTCTCTCTGCGGAGGTTGAGAAAGGACCAGATAGAAAAGCCCTAATAAATAAATAATAAGTGTGGACCTGCTTTTGGCTGATGCGATGGGATTGTTGTTGTTGTTGTTGTTGTGTGCTTTCAAGTCGTTTCAGACTTAGGTTGACCTTGAGTGAGGGCTGGGTAAATGACCTCGGAGGGCCTTATCCGGCCCCCGAGCCATAGTTTGAGGCCTCTTGGCCTAGAGGGACAATTTCTTAAAATTGTTCTTCATTTTAATTGGCTGGGGGACAACTGCTCGTCCTCACAACCATTGACTTGTGGGGTCCCGCAGGGTTCTATACTGTCCCCCATGTTGTTTAACATCTACATGAAGCCGTTGGGAGAGATCATCCGGAGTTTCGGGGTGCGGTGTTATCTGTACGCAGATGACGTCCAACTCTGTCACTCCTTCCCACCTACTACTAAGGAGGCTGTCCAGGTCCTGAACCGGTGCTTGGCCGCTGTGTCGGACTGGATGAGGGTGAACAAATTGAAACTCAATCCAGACAAGACAGAGGTACTCCTGGTCAGTCGGAAGACCGAACAGGGTATAGGGTTACAGCCTGTGCTAGACGGGGTCGCACTCCCCCTGAAGGCACAGGTTCGCAGCTTGGGTGTGACTCTGGATTCTTCGCTAAGCTTGGAACCCCAAGTTTCAGCGGTGTCCAGAGGAGCATTTGCACAGCTTCGGCTTGTGCGCCAGCTGCGCCCGTATCTTGGGAAGTCGGACTTGGCCACGGTAGTCCACGCTCTTGTCACATCCCGCATAGATTACTGCAACGCGCTCTACGTGGGGTTGCCCTTGAAGACTGCCCGGAAGCTTCAGATGGTCCAGCGCTCGGCAGCCAGGTTGCTAACGGGAGCGGCACTCAGGGAGCACACCACTCCTCTGTTGAGCCAGCTCCACTGGCTGCCAATTTGCTACCGGGCACAATTCAAGGTGCTGGCTTTAGCCTATAAAGCCCTACACGGTTCCGGCCCCACTTACCTCTCCGAACGCATCTCCGCCTATGAACCGGCGAGGATGTTAAGATCGTCCGGGGAGGCCCTGCTCTCGGTCCCGCCAGCGTCACAAGTGCGGCTGGCGGGGACGAGGGACAGGGCCTTCTCGGTGGTGGCCCCTCGGCTATGGAATGCCCTACCAGTGGACATCAGGCAGGCTCCTTCGTTACTGGCGTTTCGGAGGAGGGTTAAGACGTGGCTCTATGAACAGGCGTTCGGGTAATCATGTAATAACATCTGGCTTAGGAAAACGGCATATTGAACAAGGAATGGTAAAACGACTGTGAGAACGGGATCTGATTCTATTGAGGCGTTGATGATTATATGTGTGTCGTTTGTGTATGTCAGTTATATTTATTGTCTGTGTTGCACATTTTACTGTAAACCGCATTGAGTCGCCTTGTTAGGCTGATATATGCGGTATACAAAAGGAGTAAATAAATAAATAAATAAATAGAGCAGGGGTCCCCAAACTACGGCCCGCGGGCCACTTCCGGCCTGCCAAGGGCACTTATCCGGCCCGCGGAAGAGCATCCCCCCACACAGTGCCCCTCCCTTGGCAGGCTCACGCTATCCATCAGGGCCTAATGGGCAGTATGAGCCAGCCAAAGGCAACTGCTCCGCATGGCCTACTCGCGCGTAAAGCACCTTGCGAGGTGCTTTACGCGCGAGTAGGCCGCGCGGGGCTGCTCTCCCTTGGCAGGCTCACGCTGCCCATCGGGCCCGATGGGCAGCGTGAGCCAGCCAAGGGAGGCTGCCCCGGCGCTCCATGCAGTCATGTGCTGGCCACATGACCTTGGAGGTGTCTACGGACAACGCCGGCTCTTCGACTTAGAAATGCAGATGAGCACCACACCCCGAGTCAGACACGACTGGACTTCATGTCAGAGGAAAACCTTTAACTAGGAAAATTGTGGAAGATCCAGGGTGGGAGAAAGAACTCTTGTCTGTTGGAGGTAGGTATGAATGTTTCAATTGGCCACCTTGATTACCATTTCATAGCCTGACAGTTTTTAGGGAGAATCCTTTGTTGAGAGGTGATTAGCTGGCCCTGATTGTTTCTTGTCTGGAGTTCCCTGTGTTTGAGTGTTGTTCTTTATTTACAGTTATAATTTTAGAGTTTTTTAAATACTGGTAGCCAGATTTTGTTCAGACTAGAAATAGGAAGATTTCCCATTCTCTGCTCCTGGAATTACTGCCTAAAGAGGGCTAGAAAGAACCCCCCTCTAAGGGCCCTTCCACACAGCAAAATAAGATATGTGCAATGTGCATAGGGATTTTTTTACGGATTTTTTTTTATAAAACTATAGTCCGGCCCTCCAACGATCTGAGGGACAGTGAACTGGTCCCCAGTTTTAAAAGTCTGAGGACCCCTGGCCTAAGGGGTGAACTGTGGACATTTCCTGCATACGTCACACATTCCAATGAAGTGAAGATAACAGACTGCTGGGTGTTCTCTTCCAGCCATGCCGGAGAAGAAGCAAGACGCGTGTGTGATTTCTTCTGTACATAGTTATGTTTGTTGATTTATAGTTGTTAGAAAGCAACTAAATAAATGTGCCACTTCAAGGTTTTGAAGTTGATTGAAGACTATGCACTTTGTGTTCATTTCGTACATCCTAGCAGTTGCTCCGAGGTCGAAGTTTTACCGACAGAACTTCTTTGGAGAAAGGGAAAGTGCTTCTGGCTGCGAGTCCGGTGGAGCCTCCTTCCTTGTCTGGGGGTCTCTGAGCAGATGCTGGAAGACTGTCTGTCGGGAGGGCTTGGATGGTGCCTTCCTTTGAGGCAGAATGGGGCTGGATGGGATTACCCCTGGGGTCCCTTCTCTTTTGTCCCTGAAGGTGATTCCACTCAGGGGCCATGAAGATGGAGGGCAGGTGGGCTGGCCGTCCTGGCCCCTGGCCCTCCGCAAGGGACAGAACACTCCTTCTTTGGAGCAAAGTTGGGTCATGCCTGCCTTAGCTGTGCCTTTCTGCTTGGGAGGGGGTTGGAGGAGAAGCCCCCACACTCTCTGCCAATATAACACGCAGTGACACATGCAAGCGGTGGTGAGTAAAGGCATGTTTATTCCCCTCCCTCCCTCCCTCCCTCCCCCTGACTACTGCTCCACGTTCTTGACGCGCAGCACGACCGGGACGGAGGTGCAGGGGATGACCCCCAGGTCGGTGATGACCAGGTCCACCAGCTCCAGCGGAGTCACATCGTAGACCAGGTTCAGGAGGCGCAGGGCGGGGCTCTCCTTCCAGCCGCACAGCGGGCCCCTCCCTCGGGGCGTCTCAATCAGGTCATCGGGGTCGTCTGCGGAGGGGCAGGGGTCAGTTTGGCCGACGAGGGGAACATGGCGTTGTGTGGCCCCTCCCCAGCTGTACCTTGCCCAGAGGGTCCGGCTCCAATGGACACCCCTCCCTAGCAGGGCCGTAGCCAGAAAAAAATTTCGGGCAGGGTTGACAATTTGGGGGGGGGGGGGTTGAAAATTTCGGGGAGGGTTGAAAATTTCGGGGGGGGGGGTTGAAACCTGCCTCCTAGCTCACGCTGAAGCAAAGAGCACAGCAGGGGGCAGAGCAACCTTCAATAGCCTGCAGCTCCACCCCTGTCAACCACCTCCACCAAGTCTGGCCTCCTTAATGAGAGCATTCAACACACACACACCCAACTTGGTTGCTTCACTACATCGGCTATTGCTGCAAGTAATGACAGTGTGAATAAATTGTCAATATTTGCTTGAGTTAGTGCTTACAGTTCTGGAGGGACTCTTAATTTTTTGCATCTCATAGACTTAGCATGGGGATTTGGTTAACCAGTTAAAATTCATGAGTAAAGCAGGGTTTTTTTAAAAAAATCTGAAACATTTCGGGGGGGGGGTTTGAACCCCTAAAACCACCCCCTCGCTACAGGCCTGCTCCCTAGGGCCACTATGTTTGCTGCAATCTCTATGTTGCTGCAACTGCAGGGGCTTTTCGACCCTTGGCCACATTAGCCAGAAGACCCCACTCCTCCCCGGAGGTCTCAACCTGGCCAGGCATTGGGCAACCCAAAAGGGAGCCTCAAAAAGGGCCCCTCACAGACTCCGCCTCGCAGGGATGTTGTGCAATGAGCCAATATGTCCCTAACCCTGGGAGGAGAAGGCGGGGAAGGCCTACCGAGTTCGTTGGAGACGAAGGAGTCCGTCTGGACGCGGTCGCAGAACTTGTAGGTCTCGCAGCAGACCAGGACCGGGACGTTGTGGGCCTTGGAGAGCAGGGCGATCTGGGAGGTGCCCATCCGCGACATCACGGAGCCGTTGGCCAGCAGCGCGTGCGCCCCCAGAAGCACCTTGGAGACCTGCAAGCGAGGGAGGAAGCGGGGTTGGGCCTTGTGTACAGAGAGGCATTCGGGGCTGGCCTGCTTTCACCCCTGCTCCTGGAGCCCCCTGTGGCACAGTGGGTTCAACCCCTGAGCCGGCAGGACTGAAACCTGACAGGTCGCAGGTTCGAATCTGGGGAGAGGCGGATGAGCTCCCTCTGTCAGCTCCAGCCCCTCATGCAAAGGGGACATGAGAGAAGCCTCCCACAAGGATGATAAAAACATCAAATCATCTGGGCAATGTCCCCTGGGCAACGTCCTTGCAGACGGCCAATTCTCTCACACCAGAAGTGACTTGCAGTTTCTCAAGTCACTCCTGACACGACAAAATAAATAAATAAATAAAATAAAAACCTCTGCTGCTTCCTACATCTCTGCCACTCCTGCCCACAGGGAGAAGCTGTAATGGTTTTTAACTGGGAATTTTAAAATACTGTTTCCATTTAATCCTGTTTTGATGTTGGCATACTTGTATATTTTAAATTGTATGCAGATGCTGCAGATCCTGCTTCTTGGCAGAATGGGGTTGGTTTGGATGGCCCATGAGGTCTCTTCCAACTCTAGGATTCTATGCTTTTATGTTAAGCTGCTCTGAGTCCATTTTGAGAGAGATAATGCAGGGTATAAATATTCACTTATTTATTTACGACATTTATATGCCGCCTCTTTCACCCCGAAAGTTGAGAATATATATACATGTATATTAGTATGCTGGTGCTTTTATGTTAAGCTGCTTTGAGGCCATTTTGGGAGAGACAAAGAAGGGTATAAATATAATATAATATTAATATATACGTATATATATGTATATATACACACACACATATATTAGTATGCTGATGCTTTTATGTTAAGCTGCTTTGAGTCCATTTTGGGAGACAAAGAAGGGTATAAATAAATATAATAATCATATATATATACACACACACACATACATATATTAGTATGCTGATGCTTTTATGTTAAGCTGCTTTGAGTGCATTTTGGGAGAGACAAAGAAGGGTATAAATAAATGTAATAATTATATATATGTGTGTGTGTGTGTGTGTATACATAGACACACACACACACATATACATATTAGTATGCTGATGCTTTTATGTTAAGCTTCTTTGAGTCCATTTTGTGAGATGTAAAGAAGGGTATAAATAGATATAATAATAATATATAAATAAATATAATATACATATATATTAGTATGCTGATGCTTTTATGTTACGCTGCTCTGAGTCCATTTCGGGAGAGATAATGTATAAATATTTATTTATTTACCGCATTTATATGCTGCCCTTCTCACCCCAAAGGTTGAAAATATATACACATACACACACACACACGCTGATGCTTTTATGTAAAGCCAGTTTGAGTCTCTTGCAGGAGAGATAAAGTGAAGTATAAATAAATATAATAAATGCAATAATAATAATAATAATAATAATAATAATAATAATAATTAGTATTAAGGTACTCTGTTTGAGAAGGAATCCTCAAAATGCCTTTCACTTAGCCCACTTTCATCTATTCTTCTCTCTGGGATTATTTTCCTAAAAGTTTTTACCTCTTTCTAAAAACCTCACCTATTTTCTCTCCTACTACAGCACTGCTTCCTAAACTGTGGGTCCCAATGCGAAATGGGGTCCCTTTAGCTCCATGTTGGGGTCCCAAAAAAGTTTCCTACAGGCTCCCTAGTGCCTGTTTTAGACATTTACACAAATAGTTTGTGCAGCGTTTACAATGCTTCAGCTGTACTTCATAAAAAAGGAAATTCAGTCTGTTTAGCAAGCCTTGGCAGTGCTGATTTGCTACCAGTAAATGCTTGATTTTTAAGGCCATGTAAAAATTTCTCAGGCCAAAAGGAGTAGAAGAGGACAGCTGACCGCTATATCAACCCCTCCCCCCTCCCTCCCTCCCTCCCTTGCCCGGTCCGCACCTCAGGCAAGACATAGGAGATGGCGTTGATGAGGACGTAGCTGCAGCGGACCCCCTGCCGGACCAGGCGGCGCAGCGTCTCCCGCCCCTCCAGTCGCGGCCGGCTGTCCACCACCACCACACGGAAGGCCCGGCCCTCGGCCCACGCATGGCTCAGCGTCCGGCTCACCAAGGAGGAGCTGCGGGGAAGAGGGACCCATTGGGGAGGGGTCACAGAAGCACAGTTAGATGGAGTACCTGTAAGGCCATCTAGCCCAGCCCATTTATGCCAGACCTCTGCTGAAGATTTTCTAGTAGGCATGTGCAATCCATGGCTCTAAATGGTTCTAAAGTACTTACAAAACTAAAGTTCTGGTGGTGAAAATTTCAGAACTCTAACAAAACTTTCCAAATTTCATTATTATTTCATTATTGATTATTTTTATGACAGAACAATTAGGAACTGCCATTTATAATGAAATTTGGAAAGTGTATTGTCGAAGGCTTTCATGGCTGGAATCACTGGGTTGTTGTAGGTTTTTTCGGACTATATGGCCATGGTCTAGAGGCATTCTCTCCTGACGTTTCGCCTGCATCTATGGCAAGCATCCTCAGAGATAGTGAGGTCTGTTGGAAATAGGAAAAAGGGTTTATATATCTGTGGAATGACCAGGGTGGGACAAAGGACTCTTGTCTGTTGGAGCTAGGGATGAATGTTTCAACTGACCACCTTGATTAGCATATAATGGCCTGACAGTGCCTGGAGCAAACTTTTGTTGAGAGGTGATTAGATGTCCTTGTTTGTTTCCTCTATGTTGTTGTGCTCTTCTAATTTTAGAGTTTTTTAATACTGGTCGCCAGATTTTGTTCCTTTTCATGATTTCCTCCTTTCTGTTGAAATTGTCCACCTGCGTCTTGTGGATTTCAATGGCTTCTCTGTGTAGCCTGACATGGTGGTTGTGAGAGTGGTCCAGCATTTCTGTGTTCTCAAATAATAAAATGCTGTGTCCAGGTTGGTTCATCAGGTGCTCTGCTATGGCTGACTTCTCTAGCTGAAGTAGTCTGCAGGGCCTTTCATGTTTTGTTAGAGTTCTGAAATTTTCACCACCAGAACGAGCAACACTGTAGAAGCAAAGCACCAGCGCCCCCTTGTTTTCACCATCAGAACTTTAGTTTTGTAAGTACTTTAGAACCATGGATTGCACATGCCTAGTTTCCAGAGAAGGAGAGTCCACCATGAGCCCCAGCCCACTGTTAATGTCCTGGGACCCTGCTTGCTTCTCCTTGCCTCCCCTTTGCAGCCCACAGAGGCCTTTCCTCCAGCCGGCCGATGCCCCCTTCACACTAATGCCGCCACCTACCAGCCGTAGACCAGGATGACGTCCCCGTCGTGGATCTTCTCAAAGGCCGACTTGCAGATGGCCTGGGCAGCCAGGACGATCTTCTCACGCTCGAACTTCTCCACGGCCTCCAGCAGAAGCGCCTTTTGCTGCCGTCACAAGATGGAAAATTGTCCCTGCATTGTCCCACTGGTCCCTCTCAGGGCCATTCAAAGGCCTTGCTGCCTACCCACAGCCCCGCTGAGCAGGACTGAGGGGGCCCAGTGCGCCCCCCCCCTTCCCCACTTACTCACTCACCTCTTCCTCCCTCAGGGACCCCGGAAGGGACGAGATCTCCTTCTTGAGGAACTTGATGGCGTTGCCCATGCTGGCCGAGAGGGGCCGGCACTGGTTCAGGAAGCTACAGGGGGTTTGTTGGGGGGGGGGGGGGGCAGGGAGGGAGAGAAGGGTCGACATGCTCAGAGGCCGGCACTGGGCTCCCTCCCCTCCCCACTCCCCATTTCCCAAGTGGGGATGGTGTGGAAGGACCACCCACCTGATGTAGGGCTTCAGGCGGTTCACCAGGTCCCTGGAGATCTCCTCCTTGGGGGGCGTGGAGTAGTCCTTGATCACCTGGTGGAGACAATTGGGGGGGGGGGGGAGAGATGGAGCATAGGAAAAGTCCTGGTTTGGCACGAGGAGGCTTGCTCCAAGGGCCCCCTTTCACTCTCTTTAAAAGACTAGGGAGCATTGGGAAACTGACCAACAACAACAACTATTATTTATAGTCCGCTTTTCTGTGTAACACGTTGCTTCTCAACCTTTCTAATGCCGTGACCTCTTAACACAGTTCCTTATGTTCTGGTGACACTCAACCATAAAATTATCCTAGTTGCTACTTCAGAACTGTCATTTTGCTACTGTTATGAATTATAATGTAAATATCTGATATGCAGGGATGTATTTCTATTCACTGGACCAAACTGGCCACAAATACCCAATTGATTTTGTCATTTGAGAATTGTAGTTGCTGGGATTTATAGTTCACCAACAATCAAAGAGAATTCTGAATCCCACCAATGATGGAATTGATCCAAACTCGGCACATAGTTCTCCCAAGATCAGCAGAAAATACTGGAAGCATTTGGTGGGCGTTGACCTTGAGTTTGGGAGTTGTAGTTCACCTACATCCAGAGAGCACTGTGGACTCAAACAAGGATAGATCTGGACCAATCTTGGCACAAATACTCAATATGCTCAAATGTGAACACTGGTGGAGTTTGGGGAAAATAGACCCTGACATTTGGGAGTTTTAGTTTCCCCAAACTCCACCAGTGTTCACATTTGTGCATATTGAGTATTTGTGCCAATTTTGGTCCAGATCTATCCTTGTTTGAGTCCATCTCTGGATGTAGGTGTACTACAACTCCCAAACTCAAGGTCAACGCCCACCAAACCCTTCCAGTATTTTCTCTTAGTCTTGGGAGTTCTGTGTGCCAAGTTTGGATCAATTCCGTCATTGTTGGGATTCAGAATTCTCTTTGATTGTAAGTGAACTAGAAATCCCAGCAACTACAATTCTCAAATGACAAAATCAATTGGGTATTTGTGGCCAGTTTGGTCCAGTGAATGGAAATACATCCCTGCATATCAGATATTTACATTATAATTCATAGCACTAGCAAAATGACAAGTTGCCCAAAGTGGTTCACAACGTAATACAATACAAATCAAAGCACATCTATATAAATAAAAATGTAATGTTCGTTTGTGGGATGAACATAACTCAAAAACCACTGGACAAACTGACACCAAATTTGGACACAATACAACTATCAGGCCAACGAGTGACCATCACTCATAAAAACATTGAAAAGCACAGCAGAAGAGACTTAAAAAGCCCAAAAAGAAAACAAAAAAATTACAATGCATGCTCAAAACCACATATATACACATATACACAAATATATATACACACACACACAAAACACATATACACAGACTGGGCCACATCAACACATGGCAGGAGACGGCTAGTTTAACATAAAATACAAGACAAAAATCACGCAAAGTAGAATAATGTCCAGAAACAAGATATAAATAAATATTAGGCATTAAAAACATTTTAAACCAATTACAATTATTGTGGAGACTCACCCATTAAATAGTATATTTTGCTAAGCTCAGTGTCATTTTCTGCTGTTTTCCTGTCAAAGGCACCTTGGTGAACCTTCCCCCACCCCGTCCTTTAAAACCTACCTGTTTGAAGACCCTCAGGAGGGCGATGCACCGGGCGTTGGAGCCGTTGATGGTGCCCTGGGAGTACTGCAGGCCGAGGCGCACCACCGCGGGGTGGATGGCGGAGGCAGGGATGCTGGGGAAGGGAGGGAGGAAAAGGGGGGGCCTGATGACAGGGTACAGAGTGTGCTGGCTCACCCCAGATGTCAGGTGTCCCAAACACCAGAAGTCAATCAGCAGCCACACCAACATAAAGGAACACAATGGGGAATAATAGCCACCAAAGCCGCTATGCCAAATCCAAGGATAATCCAGAGAGAGAATTCTAAAGTTCCAATGCACAGGTCAAGGCCGGAGCAAACAGGTCAACGATACCCCAAAGCAGAGGCCAAGGTCTGGAAATTCTCAGTGGATACAGCACAAATGCAGGTTGCTCCCACGACTGGCCCATAGCTTCACTGGTGCTCTATAGTAAGCCAGCAAGCTATGGGCTGGATCCTGACTGCACTTCTGCTGCTCCCTTCCAGGTAAATGAGCACTTCAGAATAACAACAACAACAATAACTATTATTACGAGCCACTGAGGACTTTAAGATCATCTGGGGAGGCCCTGCTCTTGGTCCCGGCGTTGTCACAAGCACGTTTGGCGGGGACGAGAGACAGGGCCTTCTCAGTGGTGGCCCCTCGGCCGTGGAACACCCTCCCTAGGGAGATCAGATCTGCTCCCTCCCTCCTGACGTTTCAGAGGCAAGTGAAAACATGGCTATTCCAGCAAGCGTTTACAAATACAGAGTAGCTAATATAGGAAATCGAATGACCTGACAATGGAATTGGACAATGCTTGAGAATAATGAGACGCTGATGATGTTACTTTTATTGCTTTTGGGATGTCTTATACTGTTTAATGTTTTTTTATCTATATTATGTTTTATGCATACTGATTTGTTGGAAACAGCCTTGAGTTGCCAATTGGCTGAGAAAGGCGGTATACAAATACAGTAAGTAAGTAAGTAAGTAAGTAAGTAAGTAAATAAAAACAGTTTATATTTATATTCCACCCTTCTCACTGGGGACTCAGGGCGGATCACAGTACACATACACAGCAAATATTCAATGCCACTTTGTATAGACAATATACAAACAAACAGAGCAGAACAGAAAGGAGGTGCACTGTTTCGACTCCATGTGCATCTGTTTTGGTGCCATGAAAGGTTGGTCTTGAGTCCAGCCACTGGGAGGTGCTGCCGCTCCATCCTCCATGACGAAGAGCCATCAGGACTTCCTCCTTCCTTTTGGTCACCAGACATTTTCTGATCTTCTTTCTTTATGGTGTCATAAAACACCTCCCCCGCTTTTAGCGGTACCTAATTTCCCTAATTACAGCTAAAGCTGTTTTTGACTGCTTAGGTAAACAGTGAGCAGGGCTGACAGTCGGCAGCTCATGCCGATCCGGGGCTTCGAACTTGCAACCTTTCGGTTGACAGATCTTATAGTTGCTGGTGCTAAATCCCCACCCTTCTATGTCTTTCCTTTAAGGCAGTGGTTCTCAACCTGTGGGTTCCCAGGTATTTTGGCCTTCAAAGCTGGAAATCCTAACAGCTGGTAAACTGGCCGGGATTTCTGGGAGTTGTAGGCTAAAACACCTGGGAACCACTGCTTTAAGGCAAACCTTAGGCTCTGTCACTGCTGCTCTTTTGGCGACTCAGGTGAGCCAGGGGTCTGCCTATATCCAGATTGGGGTCCGGAATTCCCTCCTGCTCGTGGCTCTGAAAAGTCTCCAGAGGCAACTCATCCCCTGAGTCCTCGCTAGAGGCTTGAGGCACAGGCTGACCCCGACCCCTTTGTGGTCCCCTCTTTTGAACTTGCTTATGCCATCTAAACAACTAAATGGTAACTAGCAAGTAAAGAAAGGCCTTGCATTCATTTATGTACTAAAATTCTTAAAATCCTGACCTTGATCAGAGGGTCTCAAGACAGAGGATAATACAAAATAATGTGATGCCTCCTTCCCTGATGAGAAGGAGAGCCAGTGTCGAAAGGAATCAAGAGTCCCCCAGAGGCCACATAGTCCAGCCCCCTTCTGCCAGGAAGGAAGGCAGGTACAACCAAACCCTCTCAACAGACAAGACAGACATCTATGTTGCGGCTGTGTCATAACTTTACCAGACATCCTGGCAGCCACATATTTTCAGGGCAAGATTGGCTCTGGGAGGGTTTGCCATTGGCCTCCTCTGAGTATGACTTGCCCAAGTGAGCTTGTCAACTCTGTTCTGCAGAGCAGCAGCCCAGTGTTGAAGCCAGAGCAATACACTAGCTCTGAAAAGAATGTTCAGCCCATGGGAAAGCAGTCATAACAATACTCGAGAGGTGCGCCTGTTTGTGCCAGATCTGCAAAGCCACGTCAGGCAGACGCCCAAAGCTTCCCAGGCAACGCAGTTGTTAAAGCGAGTTAATTAGCTCATGACTTGTTTACATGAACCAGCTTGTTAGGTGCCTCCAGCACCAAGAGCAAGGCTTCCCCGACCGGTGTGTCACCTGCTGCCAGAGAGGGCCGGCCAAGGGAGCTGTGGTCTAGTCACACACACACATGCACAGAGCCCAGTGTGGAACCCAATAATAATAATAATAATAATAATAATAATAATAATAATAATAATAATCTTTATTTATACCCTGCCACCAACTCCCCAATGGGGACTCAATTCAAGAGAGATATTGACAAGCTGGAATGTGTCCAGAGGAGAGCGACTAAAATGATAAAAGGTCTGGAGAACAAGCCCTATGAGGAGCGGCTTAAGGAGCTGGGCATGTTTAGCCTGAAGAAGAGAAGGCTGAGAGGAGATATGATGAGGGCCATGTATAAATATGTGAGAGGAAGCCACAGGAGGAGGGAGCAGATCAAGGGTCTGGAGAACAAGCCCTATGAGGAGCGGCTTAAGGAGCTGGGCATGTTTAGCCTGAAGAAGAGAAGGCTGAGAGGAGATATGATGAGGGCCATGTATAAATATGTGAGAGGAAGCCACAGGGAGGAGGAGGGAGCAAGGGTCTGGAGAACAAGCCCTATGAGGAGCGGCTTAAGGAGCTGGGCATGTTTAGCCTGAAGAAGAGAAGGCTGAGAGGAGATATGATGAGGGCCATGTATTAATATGTGAGAGGAAGCCACAGGGAGGAGGGAGCAGATCAAGGGTCTGGAGAACAAGCCCTATGAGGAGCGGCTTAAGGAGCTGGGCATGTTTAGCCTGAAGAAGAGAAGGCTGAGAGGAGATATGATAGCCATGTATAAATATGTGAGAGGAAGCCTCAGGGAGGAGGGAGCAAGCTTGTTTTCTGCTTCCTTGGAGACTAGGACGCAGGAACAATGGCTTCAAACTACAAGAGAGGAGATTCCATCTGAACATGAGGAAGAACTTCCTGACTGTGAGAGCCGTTCAGCAGTGGAACTCTCTGCCCCGGAGTGTGGTGGAGGCTCCTTCTTTGGAAGCTTTTACGCAGAGGCTGGATGGCCATCTGTCAGGGGTGATTTGAATGCAATATTCCTGCTTCTTGGCAGTGGGGTTGGACTGGATGGCCCATGAGGTCTCTTCCAACTCTTTATTCATTATTATTATTATTATTATTATTATTATTATTATTATTATTAGGCAAGGCTGGATGGCCATCTGTCAGGAGTGATTTGAATGCAATATTCCTGCTTCTTGGCAGAAGGGGGTTGGACTGGATGGCCCATGAGGTCTCTTCCAACTCTTTGATTCTATGATTCTATGACTCGGAGCGGCTTACATGAGGGCAAGCCCGAACAACAATTACAATAAAGAAAAACCGAAAACGCAAACCGAAAACGCGAACAATAACAACAACATCATAATGACATAAAACATGTGAATACATAACAATACTTTCCCCTTGTGATGGCAAAGGGCACCCACCTCATCTGCTGCGTCAGGAGCTCCTTCCGGCTGTATTGGTGCAAGTGGGAGAAGAGGCTGACTTTGGTGCCGTAATCTGGTCGCAGAGGCACCTGGGGAGGGAACGGAAGGGAAAAGGACCATCAAGAGCGCACTCCTGAGCACCGTTCCTCTGCAGGCAGGAGTGGATGACCCAGGGAGATAGGGCGGGGTATAAATAAAGTATTCATAAAATCCTAGAATTGGAAGAGACCTCATGGGCCATCCAGTCCAACCCCATTCTGCCAAGAAGCAGGAAATTCACATTCAAAGCACCCCCGACAGATGGCCATCCAGTGCCTGTTTAAAAGCCTCCAAAGAAGGAGCCTCCACCACACTCCGGGGCAGAGAGTTCCACTGTTGAACGGCTCTCTCTCTCACCATTAGAAAGTTCTTCCTTTTGATGTTGTTGTTAATACAAATGTTTTAAAATGCTTTTTATATGATTTTTATAATGTGTGTTTAAATGTTTATAATTTTTTTAATGATTGTTGTGGCATCAAATTGTGCCAGTGTAAGCCGCCTTGAGATGCCCCCGGGCTGAGAAAGGCGGCATAGAAATGCAGCAAATAAATAAATAAAAAATAATGTCATGAGCCACTTTGAGTCTCAATAAGTCATAAATGCAAGATATAATAATAATAATAATAATAATAATAATGCTTCCCAAAGCACAGGCTCAGAGTCTCTTTTCATGGGCTGCCCTCCAACCCAAAGCTGCAAAGCCACGACTCCTTGTGTGAACCCTCCCTCCCTGCTTGACCCTTAGCCCTCATGCCACTGACCTGCTGGCGCTCCAGCTTCTTGGCCAGCCTCCTCTGGGCTGCAGGGTCATCGGCCTGCACATGCTCCGGGACCCGCTTGACCACTGGAGATGTGAGAGAAGCAAAGGAGTGGATGTGGCCATGGAGAAAAGGGCCAGAAGCCCCCCTGCCATGGCTACCAAGAGCCCCAAACTCCCCCTCCCTCTCCTCCTGACCTGTTTGGGCCTCTCCGGTGGCCGGGCGCAGAGGCTTGGGGGCCGAGGCGCCCGTGGAGGGGCTCTGGGGCTGGGTCTGCTGTTGTTGTGACTGCGGGAGGGGGCCCCCGGGGCCCTCAGCCTGCTTCCTGGCCTGCTTCAGGGCCCGCTCCGCCTCCTGCTTGGCCCGGCGCTCGGCGCGCAGCTCTGCCTTGCTCTTGCCCCCAGGAGGGTCTTCGCTGGGAGGCCTGGCCCCACTCTGCTCATCCTTGGGACCTGCACCAGAAGAGAGGGAGGGAGGGAGGGAGGGAGGAAAGAAGTGGTCAGCGGGAGGGGGCCCAGGTGTTGAGGCTCAGGGCCCGAATCTCTAGTATCTATTTCAAACCAGACACTAGAGATGAGGAGCTTAAAGTACAATAGTTTAATCTGCAGATCACATGAAGAGGTGGTGCAATAAAGCGCCAAGAAAGTGCCACAATGTTAACAAGCTGGAATGTGTCCAGAGAAAAAGGGTGACTCAAAAGATCCAGGGTCTGGAGAACAAGCCCTATGAGGAACGGCTTCAAGAGCTGGGCATGTTTAGCCTGAGGAAGAGAGGGCTGAGGGGAGACATGATGAGGGCCAGGGATCAAGAGGTGAGGGAATATGTCATGGGAGGAGGGAGGGAGCTTCCTTTCTGCTTCCCTGAAGAATAAGACGCAATGGAGCCATGGCTTCAAACTACAAGAGAGGAGATTCCATCTGAACATGAGGAAGAACTTCCTGACTGTGAGAGCCGTTCAGCAGTGGAACTCTCTGCCCCGGAGTGTGGTGGAGGCTCCTTCTTTGATGGCTTTTAAACAGAGGGTGGATGGCCATCTGTTGGGGGTGCTTTGAATGCAATTTTCCTGCTTCTTGGCTCAATGGGGTTGGACTGGAAGGCCCAGGAGGTCTCTTCCCACTCTAGGATTCTATAACTGTTTCACACAATGGGTTCTATAGTCACTACAAGCAGATAATGGGCTTTAGTGGCCGGAATCATTGGGTTGTTGTAGGTTTTTTAGGCTATATGACCATGTTTCACCCGCATCTTGCTGTGGAATCAAACCCCTGTCTGATCCCAGAGCAAGCTGGCTTCAGGAAAGGCAAAAGCTGCACATCGCAAGTGCCGAACCTGACTCAGCACATAGAAGATGGTTTTGAAAGGCAGCTGATCACAGGAGCCATCTTCATAAACCTGTCAGCAGCCTATGACACTGTGAACCACCGCTGCCTCCTCCCGAGAAAAATGTATAATATCACAAAGGACGACCACCTCACCTGCCTCATAGGAAACCTGCTACAAAACAGGAGCTTTTTTGTTGAGTTCCAAGGCCAGAGAAGCAGATGGCGGAAACAGAAGAACGGCCTGCCTCAGGGGAGCGTGCTTGCTCCATCCATGTTCAACATCTACACAAATGACCAGCCACTGCAGAAGGGACAGAGAGCTTCATCTATGCTGATGATCGTGCCATCACCACTCAAGCAGGGAGCTTTGAGATGGTAGAACAGAAACTCTCCGAAGCTCTAGGTGCCCTTACTGCCTATTATAGGGAAAACCAACTGATCCCTAATCCATCTAAAACACAGACATGTGCTTTTCATCTCAAGAACAGAGAAGCATCCCGAGCTCTGAGGATCAACTGGGAAGGAATCCCACTGGAGCATTGCAGCGCACCTACATACCTGGGAGTCACTCTGGATCATGCTCTGCCCTACAAGAAGCACTGTCTGAACATCAAGCAAAAAGTGGGTGCTAGAAACAATATCATACGAAAGCTGACTGGCACAACCTGGGGATCACAACCAGATACAGTGAAGACATCTGCCCTTGTGCTATGCTACTCTGCTGCTGAGTACGCATGCCCAGTGTGGAACACATCTCACCACACTAAAACAGTGGATGTGGCTCTTAATGAGACATGCCACATTACCACGGGGTATCTGCGCCCTACACCACTGGAGAAATGACACTGCTTAGCCGGTATTGCACCACCTGACATCTGCCGGGAAGTGGCAGCCAATAGTGAAAGGACCAAGGCAGAGACATCTCCAGCTCATCCCGTTTGGGTATCAGCCAGCACGTCAACGACTTAAATCAAGAAATAGTTTTCTTAGATCTACAGAGACACTCGCTGGAACACCTCAGCAAGCGAGAGTCCAAAAGTGACAGGCTCAAACCCAGAACCTCAACCAATGGCTGATATCCAATGAGAGACTCCCCCCTGGGCACACAGAAGACTGGGCGACTTGGAAGGTGCTGAACAGACTGTGCTCTGGCACCACGAGATGCAGAGCCAACCTCAAGAAATGGGGCCACAAAGTGGAATCCACGACATGCGAGTGCGGAGAAGAAGAGCCAACCACTGACCACCTGCTGCAATGCACCTTGAGCCCAGCCACATGATGCACAAGGGAGGACCTTCTTGCGGCAACACCAGAGGCACTCCAAGGGGCCAGGTACTGGTCAAAGGACATTTAATCAACTACCAAGTTTGCATAATTTGTATTTTTTAAAATCTGTTTGTTTGTTTTGTTCTGTTAGAAATGTAATACATTGTTTTGGTTGCGGATGACATGATAAATAAATAAATTTATTTATTTATTTACAGTTCTTATATTCCACCCTTCTCACCCCGCAGGGGACTCAGGGCGGATTACAGTAAGCAACGTTTAACACACAAATACACCGAGGCTATTTTACTTTTTTTCTGGCCGCCAGGGGAGCTGCTGCTTTTCATCGTCCATCAACGACACCGATGAAGTTCTTCCGCATTCCACATTCCCCGGAGTCTTTTTTCTTTATGGCCTCATAAATTAGTTAAATTTAGCCTCCCACACAAGGTGGTCCCTTATTTTCCTACTTGACAGATGCAACTGTCTTTCGGGTTGCAAAGGTCGACAACGGGCTACACAATGGCTGGACACCCACTCCAGCCCGGGCTGGCTTCGAACTCATGACCTTTTGGTCAGAGTGATCTTAATGCAGCTGACACTCAGCCAGCTGCGCCAAAAGTGCTGGCGTTGGCCTTTAAAGTCCTAAACGGTTCCGGCCCAAGCTACCTATCTGACCGCATCTCTGCCTATGAACCCACCAGGACTTTGAGATCTTCCGGGGAGACCCTGCTCTCGATCCCGCCTGCTTCTCAAGCTCGGCTGGCGGGGACGAGAGATAGGGCCTTCTCGGTGGTGGCTCCTCGGCTGTGGAACGCCCTTCCTACGGGCATTAGACTAGCACCATCTCTAATGGTATTCCGCAAAAAGGTGAAGACCTGGATGTTTGTGCAGGCGTTTGAGTAATTTAGTGCAATCTGGTAATGGAACATAGGAATGGAACAATGGACGACGAATCTGGACTACGCTTGGATGATGAGAAGATTGGGTACGGTTGTTTTTGTAATAATTGTGCATTGTAACTGCTTATTGGTAATTTATGGATAATGTGTTAAGTCAATTGTTATATGTTGTATGGAACCACTGCTGTTTCTACTGTTTTTACTGTTTGTGAACCGCCGTGAGTCGCCTTCGGGCTTGAGATACAGCGGTATAGAAGCAAAGCAAATAAATAAATAAATAAATAATAATCCCGCCATAATGGCCTAACAGTTTCAAGGTCTGGCTTCTTCCTTCCTTCTTGTAGCTGACCCTGCATTATGACACAGCACTGTGACCCTACTGAGAATAGACCTGGACCACAGTTGGCACATAGAACCCCTCACTTGGGCCCTCAATCCTTCTGGATGTTTTGGACTCCAACTCCCAGCATTCCTCACAGCCTCAGGCCCCTTCCCTCAGGCTGAGGGGGAAAAGTTGGAGTTGGAGTCCAAAACATCCAGAAGGTTTGAGGGCCCAAATAGGCCTGGGTCTGTCCTAGAATTCCACTTCCGGTAGAGTACCCAAGATTGTCTTCCTTTCCGCTGACCTGGGGGGCTTCTGGCTTGGCCTCCGGGCTCCTGCGCATGCGCGGCTTGCCCCCCTTCCTCCTCCTGCTTCTGTCGGCGCTGCTGCTGCTTCTTCTGCTGCTTCTTCTCCTTCCGCAGCTGGAGCTTCTCCTCGCGGGAGAGCGGGGCCGGGTCCGCCTGCGGGGGAGGAGGAGTTCCCAATCAGTCACAAACAGAAACATGACTACATTACCATTCGCGGCCTAGTCGTGTTTTTCCCCGGCTCACCTGCACGCCGCTTCCGCCTCGCTGCTCCGACATGGCGACTCTCTCTGCCACACAGCGCCCCCTGCAGGACGGAGTGCGAAGCCACGCCCCCTCCATCCCTGCCTCCAATGGGATGGCCCTCCTTCCAAACCACGCCCCCTCCCGCAGCTGTCAAGTTCCCTTCTCCACTAGCGCCACCTTCAGGCTGGATTGGGAAGCCACGCCTCTTCGATCCCAGCCTCCAATCGGATGGCCCTACTTCCAAGCCACGCCCCCTCCCGTAGCTGTCAAATTCTCTTCTCCACTAGTCTGGATTGGGAAGCCCCGCCTCCTCGATCCCGGCCTCCAATGGGATGGCCCTCCTTCCAAGCCACGCCCCCTCCCGCAGCTGTCAAGTTCCCTTCTCCACTAGCGCCACCTTCAGGCTGGATTGGGAAGCCACGCCCTCTCCATCCCGGCCTCCAATCGGATGGCCCTACTTCCAAGCCACGCCCCCTCCCGTAGCTGTCAAATTCTCTTCTCCACTAGTCTGGATGGGGAAGCCCCGCCTCCTCGATCCCGGCCTCCAATGGGATGGCCCTCCTTCCAAGCCACGCCCCCTCACGCAGTTGTCAGGTTCCCTTCTCCATTAGTCTGGATTGGGAAGCCCCGCCTCCTCGATGCCAGCCCTACTTCCAAACCACGCCCCCTCTCGCGAATCTCATATTCCCTTCTTCATCAGGACACGCCCCCTTAGTCCCAGCCTCCAATCGGGCGGCTCTCCTTCCAGGCCACGCCCACTCCGTAGCTCTCTTGTTTTCTACACGCCGGAATAGGAGGACACTCCCCTTCGATCCCGCCATCCAATCGGATTGCCCTCCTCCCAGGCGACGCCTCCACTCGCAGCTCTGATGTTACCTTCTCCAGTAGCGCCCCCTTCAGGTCGGGGTGGGAGGATACACCCCCTCAATCCCGCCATCCAATCGGATGCAGCTCCCTTCAGGCCACGCCCCCTTTAGAAAGTCTCATATTGCCTTCTTCACCACCACCTTAAGAACAGACTTATTTTGCATAGAATTATGGAAAAAATAGACCCCTGTCTGATCCCACAGCAAGCTGGCTTCAGGAAAGGCAGAAGCTGCACATCGCAAGTGCTGAACCTGACTCAGCACATAGAAGATGGCTTTGAAAGGCAGCAGATCACCGGAGCTGTCTTCAGAGACCTGTCAGCAGCCTATGATATTGTGAACCACCACCGCCTCCTCCTGAGAAAAATGTATAATATCACAAAGGACGACCACCTCACCTGCCTCATAGGAAACCTGCTACAAAACAGGAGCTTTTTGTTGAGTTCCAGGGCCAGAGAAGCAGATGGCGGAAACAGAAGAACGGCCTGCCTCAGGGGAGCGTGCTTGCTCCATCCATGTTCAACATCTACACAAATGACCAGCCACTGCCAGAAGGGACAGAGAGTTTCATCTATGCTGATGATCGTGCCATTACCGCACAAGCAGGGAGCTTTGAGATGGTTGAACAGAAGCTCTCCGAAGCTCTAGGTGCTCTTACTGCCTATTACAGGGAAAACCAACTGATCCCTAATCCATCTAAAACACAGACATGCGCCTTTCACCTTAAGAACAGAGAAGCATCCCGAGCTCTGAGGATTACCTGGGAAGGAATCCCACTGGAGCAGTGCAGCACACCCAAATACCTGGGAGAAGTCACTCTGGACCGTGCTCTGACCTACAAGAAGCACTGCCTGAACATCAAACAAAAAGTGTGCGCTAGAAACAATATCATACGAAAGTTGACTGGCACAACCTGGGGATCACAACCAGACACAGTGAAGACATCTGCCCTTGCTGCTGAGTACGCATGCTCAGTGTGGAACACATCTCACCACGCTCAAACAGTGGATGTGGCTCTTAATGAGACATGCTGCATTATCACGGGTGTCTGCGCCCTACACCACTGGAGAAATTACACTGCTTAGCCGGTATTGCACCACCTGACATCCGCCGGGAAGTAGCAGCCAATAGTGAAAGGACCAAGGCAGACATCTCCAGCTCATCCCCTGTTTGGGTATCAGCCAGCACGTCAATGACTTAAATCAAGAAATAGTTTTCTAAGATCTACAGAGACCCTTGCTGGAACACCTCAGCAAGCGAGAGTCCAAAAGTGGCAGGCTCAAACCCAGAACCTCAATCAATGGCTGATACCAAATGAGAGACTCCCCCCTGGGCACACAGAAGACTGGGCGACTTGGAAGGCGCTGAAGAGACTGCGCTCTGGCACCACGAGATGCAGAGCCAACCTCAAGAAATGGGGCCACAAAGTGGAATCCTCGACATGCGAGTGTGGAGAAGAGCAAACCACTGACCACTTGCTGCAATGCACCCTGAGCCCTGCCACATGATGCACCAGGGAGGACCTTCTTGCAGCAACCCCAGAGGCACTCCAAGGGGCCAGAGACTGGTCAAAGGACATTTAACCAACTACCAAATTTACAAAATCTGTGTGGTTTTTTTCTTTTTTTTCCTTTTTCTTTTTAATCTCTGTGTTTGTTTTGCTCTGTTAGAATTGTAATACAATGGTTGCTGATGACACGATAAGTAAATACCAGCGCCGCCTTCAAGCCACGCCCCCTCAATCCCGCCATCCAATCGGGAGGTGCTCCATTTAGGCCACGCCCCTCCTGCTGTTCTCATATTCTCTTCTTCATCAGCGCTACCTTCACTCAAGCCACGCCCCCACAATCCTACCATCCAATCGTATGGCTCTCCTCTCAGGCCACGCCTCCTACCGCAGCTCTCATGTTCCTTTTTCCATCAGCCCAACAGGACACGCCCCCTTGATCCCACCATCCAATCGGATGGCCCTCCTTCCAAGCCACGCCCCCTCCTGTTCTCATGTTCCCTTCTGCTTTAGCGCCACCTTCAGGTCGGGGTGGGAGGCCACGCCCCCTCAATCCCACCATCCAATCGTATGACCCTCGTCCCAGGCCACGCCCCATTCCGCAGCTCTCATCTTCCTTTTTCCATCGGTCCAAACTTCAGGCCGGAGTGGGAGGACACGCCCCCTTTATCCCGCCATCCAATCGGATCGCCCTCCTTCCAGGCCACGCCCCTTCCTGCTGTTCACATGTTCCCTTCTCCTTTAGCGCCACCTTCAGGCCGGAGTGGGAGGCCACACCCTCTCCCTGCAGGCGTCCAATCAGATGCTCCTCTTTTCAGGCCCCGCCCCCTATTCCTTTTTATCAGTTCAAATTTCAGGCTGTTGCGGGAGGACACGCTCCCTCAATCCCGCCATCCAATCGGATGATCCTCCTTCCAAACCACGCCCCCTTCTACTGTTCACATGTTCCCTTTTCCTTTAGCGCCACCTTCAGGTCGGAGTGGTAGGCCACGCCCCCTCGATCCCGGCCTCCAATCGGATGGCCCTCATTCCAAACCACGCCCCCTCCCGCACCTCTCATCTTCCCTTCTCCACCTTCAGGCCGGAGTGGGAGGCCACACCCCCTCCCTTCCGGCCTCCAATCAGATGCTCCTCTTTTCAGGCCACGCCCCTCCTTCCCGGCCTCCAATCAGATGCTCCTCCCACGCCCCCTCCCTCTCGGCTTTAACTTCAGGCCTCAGTGGGAGGACACGCCCCTTCCAGGCTGCCAATCAGATTCCCTACCCTCCAGATCACGCCCCCTCCCTCCCGGTGCCCAATCAGACGCTTCTCAATCCTGGACACGCCTCCTGAATATTGGCCACGCCCCCTCCCGTAGACTCTCATGTCACCTTCTGTGTTGGACTAAAGGTGCCTTCAGAGGTACTGGCCCTTTAAGGACTGAACCACCTCAATCCTGGCCACGCCTCCTGAATAGTGGCCACGCCCCCTTCTGTAGACTGTCATGTCCCCTTCTGTGTAGGACTAAAGATGCCTTCATAAGTACTGGCCCTTTAAGGACTGAACCACGTTAATCCTGGCCACGCCCCCTCAATCCCGGCCACGCCCCCTCTCGTAGACTCTCATGTCCCCTTCTGTGTTGGACTAAAGGCGCCTTCAGAGGTACTGGCCCTTTAAGGACCGAACCACAAACCCCGCCTCCGCGGGGGTGGGCGGGGATTCAAAGTGGGCTGGTCCAACCATTCACAACAATGGCAATCCCCCTGTTGGGCGCTAGGGGGCGCTCCACTTCCTCCTTCCCTTCTCCCTCCCTCCCCTCGCAAGTGTTTTGGTCTGCCCCGCGCCCATTGGCCGGCGGCGGAGGCGGGCGAGACCATTTCCAGGGGGAGGGGCGCCTCCTTCTTATTTCCCTCCCTCACAGTGGCTCCGCCCTCCAATTCGCAAGATGGCGGCGGCGGCCCGGGAGGCAGCTTCCGGAGAAGAGGAACGCAGGTAGCGGGAAGAAGAGGAGGAGGCTTGAGAGGAAAGAAGGAAGGATGCACTTCTCCATCCCGGAGACGGAGACCCGCGGAGGAGGAGGCGGAGGGGGCGGGGACGGCGGCAGCTCGGCCTACGTGGTGCGTAGTAGTAGGCCCTGGCCCTCTGTCGGGAGGGATCGGGTGGGGGCGGAAGGGAGGGAATCAAAACAAAGCCCCGAGCACCGGAAGTGACCCCTCCCTCCCTTGTAGGCCTACAACATCCACGTCAACGGGGTCCTGCACTGCCAGGTGCGCTACAGCCAGCTGCTGGGACTCCATGAACAGGTCAGTGCCGGATGAGCCTCTGCTGGGAGGGATCGGGGGGGGGGGTCTTCTGACTCTAAGGTCATTGTATAGTAAGGACTGTATGGCCAATGTGTTCTGGCAGCATTTTCTCCTGACGTTTCGCCTTCCCCATCATGCCCCCTCAGCTGCTTAAGTGGAGGCCTGATGTGCCTCTGCCAGGAGTGATCAAGTGGTGTCTTCTGAGCCTAGGGTCATTCTGTTATCAATGGTTGACTTTAGGGTCATTGTTTTGTGAGGATTGTATGGCCAGTGTGTTCTGGCAGCATTTTCTCCTGACGTTTCGCCTTCCCCATCATGCCCCCTCAGCTGCTTAAGTGGAGGCCTGATGTGCCTCTGCCAGGAGGGATCAAGTGGTGTCTTCTGAGTCTAGGGTCATTCTGTTATCAATGGTTGACTTTAGGGTCATTGTCTTGTAAGGATTGTATGGCC